ATCTCCAGGAGATCTTTCCGACCAAGGGATTGAACCTGCATCTCCTGCATTGCAGACAGGTTCTTTACCCACTAAGCTTTAAAGCCCGCAGGGAAGATTTGCTGTGAGGCTAATAAAGCACAAATTTCAGGCTTACTTCCGTCACTTGCACAGGCTCTTGAGAAAGACCTTAGCAATCATTTGGTCGTAAATCTTGGTAAATTTTATAAATTTTGCAAAAGTAATAAATAGTCACTGCAGTCAGTGAAGACTGCCATCTCTTTCTACTCTTTTCCTTTTGTAACAGGTCACCTCTATCAGATGGCATCAAAGTGGTCACAGACATTTTTTTCTTTAATGATTTTGTGTATAGACATAAAAGAGAGCTTCTAAAACTGTAGAACTCCAGACCTCCCAAAAGCTGAATCTGTCCTCCTCCCCCCACCCCTCCAATCTCTGTTAAAAGCTATGTTGTTAGGTGTAAGTTCATATTAAAAATAAATTCTGAATGTATTTAATTGAATGGTCGGTTCTGAGGGACTGACTTGCCCCTTTTGATCACTTTTATCAAGTATTTACTTACCACATACTCAATACAAAGAGTTTATTCTGTAAAATGGCATATTGCAAAGGGGGGTACTTAGATTCTTGTGGGTGGTTAAGAGGAACTTTGCTTATTTAAGACTGTGAATGCTGACTTAGAAGCCATGGTAACTATGGCTAACGATGGTTACTCCTCCAACTGAGTGCCTGGGAGTTGTAGGTGTTCATGTCTTATCTGAATTTGCCGGAAGTCAGTAACGGCTGCTCATTTTATCTCTGAAGTCCACGCTGCACCAGTATATAATGACAGTTTCTAGTTCCCTAAAGTAACTCCATCCTCTTCACTCATTCCCTGCCTCTCCCTGGGCCCACCTACCCCATTAGGGACCAAATGCCAGAGATTTTCTTGGATGTACAGTTAAGTCTTAAAAATTTTATTTATAAGGAAGAAAGAGTTCAATCATAGACCCTGCTTTCCTTCCGTGTCCAAGTCAGAGCTAAGCCAATGTATCAGAGGCTTGAATCTCCCTAAACTGACCCCTTCCATGCCTTCTTGCCCTAATCTGCAGCCATACAAGGCTGAATCCCTGGTCCCATGAGCCTCACTTCCTCAATAGCCTCCAAAGAATTCAAGTTCTCTTGGCTTAAAGGCCTTAATTTCCTGGCAAACTAACACACCAGAAAGGCTAACATGCCTCGAGCAGTGCAGGAGGAGCTGGTGGGCAGGGAGGCCCCAACACAGTGCACAGATGAAGCTCTGGGAACCTCCAGAGCCCAAAGTAAATTTGGGCTGTAAAACTGTTGGAGAGGAGCGTGACTCTGACCTCACCTACAGTCTCAGGGAGATCACATAAACTCCTGGACCTCAGCCCCTTGGCATCCATAGGTCTGTTCTCTATGTCTGTGAGTCTATTTCTGTTCTGTAGATAAGTTCATCTGTGTCATGCTTTAGATTCCACACATAAGTTATTTTGTATGATGTTTGTCTTATTCTGACTTTGTGTAGTATGATAATCTCTAGGTCAATCCATGTTGCTGCAAATGGTGTTATTTCAGTCTTTTTTTGGCTGAGTGGTATTCTATTGTATGTATGTACCGCATCTTCTTTATTCATTCCTCTGTCACTGGACGTTTAGGTTGCTTCCATGTCTTGGCTATTGAAAATAGTGCTGCTATGAATACAGGGGTGAATGTATCTCTTTATAGTTTGTCTGGATATATGCCCAGGACTGGGAATGCTGGATCATAAGGCAACTCTACTCTTAGTGTTTAGAGGCACTTCCATACTGTTCTCCCTAGTGGCTGCACCAATTTACATTCTCGTCAATAGTGTAGGAGGGTTCCCCTTTTCCCACACCCTCTCCAGCATTTGTTATTTGTAGAAGGAATTTTACACATCTTAATTCAGCAGGTACTCAAAAAATTTATTTCATTCCTGATTTCAGGTGGGGAAACTGAAATAAGTAGTATTTCAGAAGTAAGGTGGCTGTTCAAGGTAAAACAGACAGGTCTCCTGATGCCAAAGTACGTGCTTTTGTTAAGAATTTGAGCCTTGGAATCTAACACGCATATGAAATTTTGCCACTAAAGAGACTTTGGGCCTGTCCTTAGTCTTTTGAAGCCTCTATTTGCTCATTTATAGGATGGGCGTAATAATAATAGTACCTACTTCATAGGCTGATTGTGTTATATGGTGGCATGCATGTGTCTGGCAGAGGGTTAGAGCTAAATACATATTAGTTACAACATTATTATCACTGTTTCGATACTTCAAATTGCTTCCCTGTAAACAAACCTGTTGACTGTAAAATGTCTACTGCACATGGACACTCAGCAAATATTTGAATACACGGGCAAAAAGAATCATTTGACGCTTATCCTAGATTACCTTCTGAATCATTTTTCCAGCTGCAATCAGGTCATCAACTTAATGATCAACAAATATTATTCTGCCCTCACGCGCCCCCCTCCTCCAACTCCCCGCTGCACCAGCTGACTCAGCAGAGCCAGGCACCAGTGGGACAGGGCAGCCAACACTGGGCAGCAAACGGGGAAAACAGGGTCTGCTTCTGGTTGGGGCTTGCTGGAATTTGGACAGGCTCGCCCCTTATTTACCATGCTTACAAATCAGCTGGGAGAATTACCAGATTTGTGGCAAGACAGAGGGTTTGTAAACTAGAAAGAGAAGGGCTGCCAAGCGTGGACTGGCTTCCAGGGGACTGGCAGAACTGCAGTTCCACGGGCGAGAGGAGGTCAATCACTCATTTCTCTGGAGAATAAGTGACAGAGACACAGGCAAATGGGCCAATGGAGGTTAAGCGTAGAGGGAATGTCCTTAATAAGCTCCCCAATGGGAAGCAGTTTTGCTTTTCCTGGCCCTCAGGGCGCTAGACCAGCCACTAGCTGGGAAAACAAGTGCTGCTGCCAGAGTCTTCTGTGGGTTCCAAGGCTGCTTTTGCAGAGACAGGTACTTGAATCCTCCCTGCTTTCAGCTCAGGGGTGGTTCTGGACCTACTCCATGAGTTTTGGGTATGTCTCCGTGGGGTCAGGTGACAGTGATTCACAAGTCACTGGGCCAGAAAGTACCTACCTTTGCTGGGTCATTTTTTCTTTCCTGGTAGCTGGATATTCTCAGCCACGGGTTACTTTCCCTCTCAATTTATTTGTGCTATTTTAAGAAAGTTTCTGGGAAGGGGAGGCCATTGTGAAATAAGAAAGCTGGTAAGGGGACAGGTGTCTGCCTTCTGCCTCTGGGGGACATGCACGGGGCCACGCTCCAAAAGCTTGCCCCTCGCACCTTGGTCTGCCGCTTCCCTGGGACCCTTCCCGTCTCTTCCCTCTGCCCTGGCAATCCTGTTTTTCTCAGCTAGCCAGCCCACTGGGGAGCAATCAGATAAATGTATGGCTGAGGAAACCGCATAGTGCCTGAGAAACCGAAATAACATGCACTAAACCACATTGGAAGGCTCTGAAATACCTAAGTGCCGGAGACCTTCAGAGAGAGAAGCGAGCCCTGACTGCCTTTGCCCTGCTCGCAGTGAAGGAGCCGCCCCCGCCCCCTCCTGAGAATAGGTGAACTTTATGTGCAGGTGGCCATGATTTGTACCACGTGACCTGATGCCCTGGCTATTGCTGATTGGATAAGAACAGGCAATTGTGCCAAGGACAAATTTAGAGGCTCTCTCAGCCCGATAAGCTGGGCTGGGGCTAGAGCTTTGTTTAATAGGGATGATGACGACCAACTGGACTAATTGCATTTTTTTCTCTCTGGAGGCACCACCTGAGACCTATTAGGGGAAGTTAGCAGGAACCAGAAGTGGAAAGATAAGAAGGGAAGCACAGGGGGACTCGGGAGCTGACAGTGGACAGGGCTCAGTGGACTCCTGCTGCTGAGGTGAGGGATGGGAGGGCTTTGAGCCCTCATCAATCCTCTGGTTTCTACCCCGGAAAGACAGTTTCAGGATGCCCAGCCCAGGCCCTGGACGTCTGTCTCCTGCATTTCCATATGAACTCTCAGAAGAAGTCTCCTTTATGAGACAACCTCAGTGCATCCCTTATTTACCACCTGCAAGAGCTAATAAAGAACTCACGTGGCCTGGCTTAGAGACGAGGAAGTTGAGGCGAGGAGCTCATGGTTGCGCCCCAGGTTATAGAATCAGAACTCAAATCTGTGAAGGAATCCAGGCTCTTTATCTGGAAAGCCTGCTCTTAGAGGGTGAGGTCTGAGGACTGGAATATTGCGGAGAGTTGAGGGTTGGGGTGTGGGTGAGGGGAGTTGGTTTCCAGTTAAGAGTGAAGAGCAGGAGAAGAGATGCTGGGTTCAGTGGTTCAGACCTTGTGTCACATCATTACGATTAAAAAGCAGTTTGTAAACAGTAAGAGCTGAGTTCTAAATTGCCTGTGAGCCATGCCCTTTCAGTGGCTGCTCCTCAGGAGGTCTCTGGGAGCAGACGCAGCAGTCCTGCTGCTCTTGTCCACCTCGCTGACTTCACCCACCTTCCCTTGGCCGTGCCCACAGGGCAGGTGCTTTAGAAATCAGTAGAAATCTCCTCCCAAATGCAGACCTACTTGCCTGTCCTGTGTTCTCAAGACAACTCCAGGCTGGTTTGAAGCTAATGTCTAAACTCCAATGGAGACCTTCTTGCCCTCACTTTTAACGGGAAGAGAGCTCACAGGAGCTTTCTTTATCCCGTGAGAAATGCTGGCAGGAAAGGTCAGATTTGAAGAGGCTGTGGACCTAGGGAAAGAATGCTCAGGGCCAAACTTTGTTCTGGATAGAATAATTCTTCCCCCCTCGGCCCCTTTTTTGGCCATGCTACATGGCTTGCAGCATCTTAGCTCCATAACCAGGAATTGAACCCACATCCTCAGCAGGGAAAATGTGGAGTCCTAACCGCTGGACAATCAGAGAATTCCCAAGGATGGACTAATTCTTAAAACAAGGTTTTGCAGCTCATACTTTGCCTCCTCACAGGCCCATGGATACAGTACGGATTGCAGTTGTGGGGGCTGGCGTGATGGGGCTTTCTACTGCTGTGTGCATTTCCAAAATGGTCCCAGGATGCTCCATTACAGTCATTTCAGACAAATTCACTCCTGAGACCACGAGTGATGTGGCAGCTGGAATGCTTATTCCTCCTACTTATCCAGGTGAGAGAGGGATTTTTGCTCCTCTGTCAGATATGATAGATGTGAGATAGAATGGTGTTGATGTTGGTGGACTGCCGTTGACAAAGACAGCTGGATGTGTGTGTAAATGTAATGTGTGCCTTTGACATCTTGTTGGTTCATCTGTTAGGAAAGATTCAGTTATGTTGCAGGACAGAAAGAACCTCCAAATCTTAGCAGCTTAAAAAGCAAAGGTTTATTTTTCACTCATACTATATGTGGATTGGATATCAGCAAGGGTTTTGTTCAGCACCCAGGGGCCTAAGTTGATGAAGCAGCCACAGTCTTAAATATGGTTAATGCCTGGAGCTGGGTGGATAAGAGCTCTGGGGCACCTGCCTTAGCAATTAAAGGCTCTGATCAGGAAGCAACATTCATCACTTATGATGACAGCTCATTGGCCAGTGCTAGTCACATGCTTCCACTCTTCAGAAAGAAGCTAGGAAGTACAATTCTATAAGGCTCCTAGAAGGCAGACGGACAGAAGTATTTAATGAAGAGCACTAATGGCTACCACAGTTGGTAACTCTTAATCTTTCCACAGTAATAACCATCAAGTCAGAAAATACTTTAATGGGACTATCATTATCCTCACTTCTAAGCCAGTATAAAAAAAATTGGCCGATGTGTATTCAGGACTAAAAATGCATTAATTTTTAAAAACATGTCCATGCATCTTTTCCATTTTGTATTCTTCGTAAGAAATGGGAGGAGGAGGAAACAGAATTTAATAGGAAACAAAATCACTTTGCAACTAATGAAGTTTATACTCACTGTCTCCATTTCCTCATTTCTACTTTCTTTTCTCCCCTTTAATTTTAGTTTTTGTTTTTGCATCAAAGTTATACAAGAACATATTCTAAGTAGTCAAATGGTTATAAATTATTACCACCACTGTCCCCCCAACTGCCCCAGCAATCTGGACTATGAATTGCCATGTCCTTTTAATCCAGAAACTCGTGTCTCCAGTTCAAGGTACAATCTCTGAGTTACCTCCCTCCTGCTGTCTCTGCCTCTCTCTGGAATTGCTGTTATGCTGGGCCCTCCTGGTTGGATCCTCCCATACTCTTAGCTTTTTTCTCTTCCCATTTCTCTTTCTCTTTTTATTTACTTTCTGGGAGATTTTTCTCAATTTTTTTCTTTTCCCGTGCTGTTGGATTTATTATTTCTCCTATTGACTTTTAATATTCCAAAGCTCTTTTTTAGTCTCTAAATTTCCCTGTGTTCTAACATACTGTTTATGTTGTATGGTTGCCATTTATCTTTCTGAAGACACTAGTAATGGTTTCAAAAGTTTCTTCTCCCTGCACAGTTTCTGTGGTCTCCAAGTTGTGTTTTTTACTTGATGAACTCATTTTTCATATTACAGGTTTTCCTTGGCTTTGTGGTCATCTTTACCTGTCTGTTGACATTTAGGAGCAGGGTCCTGACAGGAGTTTCTGAGCCTTGTGTAGCGCTTGTTATCTTGAGACTCATTGCATTGAGTTGGGGGAGCTGTTTGGTTGGGGAACCTGTGATGTCATTGTATTTAGTCTTTATTCTTGGGTAGGTCATGTTCTCTAGGGAAGAGGCTTTCTGTCCCCTAGCTGGGGTGGGTGAAGGCCTGGCTGGCAGCATTCTAGAAGGAAGAGGAGAAGTGGCCTGGGGTCTTAGCATCCAGTTTGCATGTGTTCCCTTAACATGCTTGGTTTTACTATGGTATCCTGACCTTTGACTGTGCTTGGGGTTTCCTACCATCAAGATCCCCCTGTTTCACCTAACAGAATAAACCCATCTTCGGCCAGGGTAGGAATGGCTGTGGCCTCAGCACTGCCGTCCAGGAACTTGGCTTTGTCAGCAGCAGGGGCTGGTGCACCTCCTCGGAGCTGCCTGGCAGGAAACGAGCATAGGAGCCTGGTGTGTGTACAGAATGCTAGTTCACTCTGGACGCCTTTCTTGTGACCAGAGTCCTGGTGTCCATTTTCCAGGCATTTCCTTGCTGCGTCAGGCCCAGGTGAGTGGTGAGAAGGCTGCCCAATAATCATGGAATCATCTTCAAAGAAGGAGGCTCACTTGGGAGTTCATTCAGTACTGGAGGCCCAGCTTGCCCTTTGACTGGGTGATCAGGGCCCCTGGATCAGGGTCTTTCTCTCTAGTGCTGCCGATAGACTTTGTTTTTCTCCCTGAGCTTCTTTTGGACCAGCCCCAGTGATGTCAATACCATATGGGGTCCATCCTGTTCCATAGGGTTTTTTAATAAAGATTAAATGAGTTAATACTTGTAAAGCATTTTAGAACAGTGCTGGGACACAGTAAGTGCTATGTTAATATTTTCTTTTTGAAAATTAATTAATTTATTTTAATTGGAGGCTAGTTACTTTACAATACTGTGGTGGTTTTTGCCATACATTGACATGAATCAGTCGTGGGGGCGCATGTGTCCCCCTCATCCTCAACCCATCTCCCTCTTCCCTCCCCCCACTTCCCTCCCCCTCCCCACCCCATCCCTCTGGTTGTCCCAGACCACCGGCTTTGAGTGCCCTGCTTCAGGCATCCGAGTTTGCACTGGTCATCTATTTTACATATGGTGATACATGTCTCAATGCTGTTCTCTCAAATCATCCCACCCTCTCAATGCCTTCTCCCACAGAGTCCAAAATTTTGTTCTTTACATCTGTGTCTCTTTTGCTGTCTTGCATATAGGGTCATCATTACCATCTTTCCAAATTCCATACATATGCATTAATATACTGTATCAGTGATTTTCTTTCTGACTTACTTCACTCTGTATAATAGGCTCCAGTTTCATTCACCTCATTAGAACTGACTCAAATGCATTCTTCTTAATAGCTGAGTAATATTCCATTGTGTATATCTACCACAACTTTCTTATCCATTCGTTTGCTGAGGGATATCTAGGTTGCTTCCATGTCCTAGCTATTGTAAACAGTGCTGCGATGAACATTGGGGTACATGTGTCTCTTTCAGTTCTGGTTTCCTCAGTGTGTATGCCCAGCAGTGGGATTGCTGGGTCATATGGCAGTTCTATTTCCAGTTTTTTAAGGAAACTCCATGCTGTTCTCCATAGTGGCTGCACTAGTTTGCATTCCCACCAACAGTGTAAGAGGGTTCCCTTTTCTCTGCACCCTCTCCAGCATTTATTGTCTGTAGACTTTTTGATGGCAGCCATTCTGTATGACGACATTTTCTACTGTTACTACTGCTAGTCTGGCTACAGTTTTCTTTTACCAGCACTTGAACAGCAATTAGGTCACCAGATTTGCTTTACTCACTGTTGAACTGGGATTGTCTGTTTTTTGAGATGACTTTTGCAGTGTGTGAGTAGCAGTCACTATTTTGTGTCTTCAAGTTTGGAGTGGGAAAGGAGGGTACATTTCTATATATCCTCAGGCACTGGCTTAGATTGTTGGGGTGTAATCCATATGAGGTCTAATTCAGTTCTTTGTGGCTTATTTTTTTTATTTCCTCCTTATTTCTGAACCAGTTGATCCAGTCTGCAGTTTTGAGAATGCATTCACATGGGCACTTGTTTAAAGACAATAGCAGAGATCCACTAGTAAAGAAACATTTTCTGGCTCCTGAACAAGTGAATTGCTTTAAAGCCTACTAAGGAAATGCCCCCATTCACTTGGAAGCAGGGTGCCTCCAGGGGCTTTTCATCTCTACTTCCAGTGAGCTCTAGGGACGTCTCTTCAAGCAAAGCTGACCCGGGATCCTCTTTGCTCTGCTGCCCCTGTCTGCTCTGTGGCTCCCCCACGTTTCAGCCCCTCGGGATTACTGTTCCTCAGTCCCTGCGTCCTGGACTCTGACCCTGTCCTGGCCCTGGACTCTCTTTCATGACCCTCCCTCAGGGATCAGATGGCCAAATACTCCATCCATAGATTTGTCTACGCTTCTGGGTCAGGCTTGCTCTCTGTGCCTACACTGGGCACTATTCTTTTGGGGCTTGAACCCTGATCCTGGTTTCCTCCCTGGCAGGCCTGGAATCCTTCTGGAAGCTGTGTCCAGGTCCAATCCCTTGTGCAGTGGCAAGGATGCCTGGGGGTTAGGGGACACTGGTCCACAGGGCTCTGACAGAGAGGGGGTTCCTGGCGTGGTCCCTGGACACCCCTGGTGACCCCAGGAATGCTGCTCCAAGCTGGTCTGTGATTCCATGGATGGAGGGGGATGGAGGTAATGGCAGCCTTGGATGGGGCTGTAGGGAGCTCAGTTTCACAATGCAGGCCTCCTTTCCTTGTATCAGGAGGGTGAGCAGCCTGTGTTTCCCACTCATATGCAGTCTGTTCTTCGACCTGGTTGATCTGGGCCCCAAAGATCTCCCCTTGTCTCCTTCTGTGTTTTCAGCTTCTAGGAAAGAGGCCCTGGGTTATTTCTCTCATCATCTCAACTGTGTAGCCAGCTGCTTGCCTCAGCCATATCAGCTAACTTGGCTCAGGTTGGTTGTGGACATTTCTAGGGTGTCTGGAATACACTGAGTGCCAAAGACCCCTTTGCAGGTGGCCTGTGTATTAGATTTTGCCATCATTGGTTGATTTCACCTCTGTTGATTAGTGATCATATGAACTGACTCTGATAGAGCATGTCAACATTCAAAACTTCAGTCATCATACACCATGATGTGGTACTTTGTCTAAATGTTTCTTCCTGCCTTTTTAGTTTTTGCCAGTTTGTAGGAATAAGCTTCTCTGAAGCACAGTCATTGTCATAATTTCCCTTTTTGTTCTGCTTTGCTTTTCTCCACCATCGCAGACACACCCATTCAGAAGCAGAAGCAGTGGTTCAAAGACACCTTTGATCACCTGTTTGCAATAGTCAATTCTGCAGAAGCTGAAGATGCTGGTGTTATTATGCTGTCTGGGTAAGAGAGGAAATCTGAAATTATTTTAGAATTTAGAATGATCTTAACATACTTTAGAGTTTAACAGAAGATATTACTGAGTACCTGCTATGAGCATGGGGTAAATATCTGAGACATAGAGGTAGACTTATCTGACAGGGAGTAGGCAACATGGGTCTGGATCTGGTTTTGGAGTTCAGGAGAGAGAAGAGAGCTGGAGATGTAGCCTTCTGCATGTTTGGCCTGTAGATGAAAAGAGGGAAGTGGGTGATCTAGTCCAGGAGAGTGTGCAGAATGAGACAGAAAGAAAGCCTGGTATTTAGACCTGCAGCAAACAATCTTTCCATCTTCCACAGGACCTGTGTTGAATGAATCACTTAGAGATATAAATTCCAGTACCTTAATGAGCACACCATTAGCAACCATGTACAGCACTCAAATGATTTTCCTTGCTATTTTAGAGCAGCCATGCTTTATAAGTTTATTCCTATTGATGTAAAGAACCCAATACTTATAAATCCAAAGATATGCCTAGCAGCTATTGGTAGCATGATTACAGGCTTCTTATTAACAGCTGATATCATTCCAGCCTCATCAGCCCCAACCATGACTTAAAGATACAGGGTATGACCCAGCAATCCCACTGCTAGGCATTCACACAGAGAAAACCAGAATTTTTTTTTTTAAACGTTTTTTTTCCATTTATTTTTATTAGTTGGAGGCTAATTACTTTACAATATTGTAGTGGTTTCTGCCATACATTGACATGAATCAGCCATGGATTTACATGTGTTCCCCATCCTGAACCCCCCTCCCACCTCCCTCCCCATCCCATCCCTCTGGGTCTTCCTAGTGCACCAGCCCTGAGCACTTGTCTCATGCATCCAACCTGGGCTGGTGGTCTGTTTCACCCTTGATAATATGCATGTTTCAATGCTGTTCTCTCAGATCATCCCACCCTCGCCTTCTCCCACTGAGTCCCAAAGTCTGTTCTGTACATCTGTGTCTCTTTTTCTGTAGAAAACCAGAATTGAAAGAGACACATATACCCCAGTGTTCATTGCAGCATTGTTTACAATAGCTAGGACATGGAAACAACCTAGATATCCATCCGCAGATGAATGACTAAGAAAGAAAAATGGAATATTACTCAGCTATTAAAAAGAATGCATTTTAATCAGTTCTAATGAGGTGGATGAAACTGGAGTCTATTATACAGAATGAAGTAAGTCAGAAAGAAAATTACCAATGCAGTATATTAACGCGTATGTATGGAATTTAGAAAGATGTTAAGGATGACCCTACACATGAGACAATAAAGCAGATATAAAGAACAGACTTTTGGATTCTGTGGGAGAGGGCAAGGGTGGGATGATTTGAGAGAATAGCATTGAAAATGTATATTACCATATGTGAAATAGATGACCAGTCCAAGTTCGATGCACGAAACAGGGTGTTCAAAGCTAATGCACTGGGACAACCCAGAGGGATGGGATGGGGAGGGAGGTGGGATGGGGCTCAGGATGGGGGACACATGTACACCTGTGGATGACTCATGTCAATGTATGGCAAAAACCACCACAATATTGTAAAGTAATTAGCCTCCATTAAAAAAAAAAGGATACAGGGCTTCACCTGACAAATCCTGGCCTCTCTTATCAAGGACTTAATGTGACCATCTACAACTTCACTCATAAGTCACACCCCTATCTCCTGCACTCGCCCTCATTGCTTATTTTAACTGATATATTTTGTTTGAAATTGAGGCCAACATTTAAACTTTTGATTATTTGATGATTTGTTTATAGTTTATGTCTATGTTTACATTTATGTTTGCATTATGCAAAACAGAAAAATCTTTCCCCCCAGATGCATCATCATAAAGAAAGAAAGAAAATCTGGGCAAGAGCTTTTTAGAAAAAGAAAGTTAAATTCAATCTTTAAAAGACACACAGTTTTTTAAATGTCGTATTCCAATGCCTGCCCTCCCCCTACCCTGAACATTTTAAATTTAGCTACTGAATTATGTGAACCTAAGTGAACCGAAGAATAGATTTTTTTTTTCTCTGTATGGGCATAAGAAGTGTGTTTTTAAAATGCTTTAGAGAATGTCACATGGATTTTACTAGAAATCTCATAAAACTTCAGGAAGTTTTTCCACTTAATGTGTTTGAGTTGGCAGATATTTCGGAGTATTCCTACTGAAGAAGTGCCATACTGGGCTGACGTGGTGCTAGGATTTCGAAAGATGACCAAGGATGAGCTGAAGAAATTCCCCCAACATGTGTTTGGTCATGCTTTTACCACACTCAAATGTGAAGGCCCTGCCTACCTCCCGTGGTTGCAGAAAAGGTTGGTCGATGTGCACTTTACTGCTTCCTTTGTCTGCCCTACCCATAAATACCTTCATACCTTCTCATAACACAGAGACTGAAAATTCTCTGCTGTCCCTCAGAGCTTCTGCGCACCGTTCCTTGTTGTGCATTAACGGCTAGGGCTTAGTAAACAGTCTGTGAGACACTATGTCACAAGCAGTGAGTCACACCCAAGTTAGTAACACGTCCATTTTCTGCTTCCCTGGGCACCCTGACGCAGGGGTTGGTCCCTCTCCCCCCGCCACTAAGACCCCCTCACTGGAACAGAATCTTAGTTTCCTCATCTATAAAGTGAGATGTTTGGAGAGTATGCTTCCAGCTCTAAAATGATAGGATTTACTCTCGTTCTTTAGAGACTTTGAGGCTTATTATACATTATTTTTGAATTATTTTTCTCATTAATGAAAAAGACAATAACTCCATTATTTTATTTTGTTATCAACAAGGACTTTAAAACTGAGGGCTTATCTAAATTAGGTAATTACTTCCTTACTAAGTTCAGCCCAAATTCCAAGAACTTATATTTTGGCTTGGTTTTCAGGACTTCCTGTTCCAGTTGGTTAGGAAACACATCAAGGATATCATTATTTAAGACACATTAATAAATCTCTCTTGTTTCATCTGGAAATTGCAAGCATGTTGACAGTTGTGAAACTTTGGCCCTTTTAGTGCCTGAAACTGTATATTTGGTAGATACATAGGAATAATGCAAATTGTTATATAAACGTCGGAAAAGTGACTTAGTCCCTGATATAGGATATAGGATAATTAAATGGAATAATTAGTTCCACAATTCTTTGTTGAGCTTCTGTGTATACCTAGCACTGGACTAGAAGCTAGTCAGTTCTACTGAGGGTGATGGTGTATGTGTGTGTATGTGTTAATTAACATGTTAATTAACAATTACAGTAACATGTATGATGAGTGTTAAATACAAATTTATGAGGGTGGATTGGGAGCACAGAGGAGGGATCCTAAGTCTGTTAGGCACATGTTGGGAACATCATGATATATTTTTGTAGCTTTGTAAGTGCTCGTCTCATTTTTACCTCTTAGCAATTTATATGGGACTTTATTTTTTTTTTTTTAAGTTCCAGTTTCATAAAACCTACACTTTTGTGCCTTGTTTGCTGGCCCATAAACCTCTGTTTATATGTGAAATTTAAACCACTGTATATCAGCTGATAAATGAATATTTGAGCCATCATGTGATGGAGTTACCCATTAGCCAACATGCCAGTTTTCAGGGCATCACCATCTTTTCTGAGTGGCAAGGTTATATAGTGTTGCACTTTTGTCTTTATAGGAATGCCTAGAAGAAGAACATTGGAAGTGCCAATGCTATTGATACCTAGTTAAGGTATCATTTATCTTAATAAAATTAAGGGGAAATTATTGGGCAAGCCAGAAGTTACAGGGCTTTACTGTCAATATATGCATATTTATTTTGGGCCACCCTCAACTAGTTGCACATGAGAACGTATATTACCTGAGCAGTTTGTTCTGCTTGCTTCTGAAGTATCACCTTCTAGAAAACTGACCCCTTATTTCCATTATAGCCTTATTTTCAGGCCTAAGTGTGGGATCTGAAGGCCTGGGGAAAATCCTGATACCCTCTCGTTAGTTGGAAGCCTGCTGTCAGCATTTTGCTCTACTTAAAATAACAGTGGTACTTTGTGCCAGAGGGAGCCACCTCCTGACTGCAGCACCCTCGGGCCTGGTGACCAGCCAGCTGGGGTTCTGCTTTGGAGCACACTGCTTCCTGTCTGGCTTTAGGTGACAAAGTCAAGGGGAAGAGGCCCGAGGGGCTGCTCTTGCCCCAGAGAGTCCTGAGCGTCCTCTTAAGGTCTATGTGTTTGATACGCACCTCGACCGTGACAGTGGGTGGGAACATGAGCGCCTCAGGCAGACAGTACACACTGCAGGGAAGCCACGAGGAGACCCTTGTCCTGGCCGTCCACCCCCTCACACTTTGACTTGCTTCCATGGCCTGTAATACCTCAGGCTTCCTCGTACCCCGCCCCCACCCCAGTGAGGGGGCATGCAGGGGCCTCCTCTCTGTACGATTAGCTGTCCCCCCTTCCCTCAGGCCCTGGCATCTGACCGGAAGGCCGGTGTAGAGGACGAGGAGGGTCATACCTGAGGAAGACTTCGTAGGGCTGGGACCCCTCTAAGCCCAAGGCAAGCCCCTCAGATCACGGACCTCCGGCCAAGAGGGAGGCCGGGCCGTGTTGTGGCGAGGGCGTGGGATCCTGGGGCTCGCTCTGGGGGCTGCCACCCGCTCTCCACCATGGGGATGACCCGGCTGGGGAGCCACGCAATCCCTGCTTGTTCCTCACACCCAGGGTCTGTTCTGTTGCCTCTTACACCCCTGCCACACAATGCGAGTGTTCAGCCTAAAGCATTCTGACTCAAAAATGGGCATTTCACTCAGCAAGCCACACAACAGTGCCTTCAATCTGAGCTCTAGCCTTCTGAAACAATATTAATTTCTAGGAAAGAAAAAATTGTTCATAACCACAAATTAGATCTTTAGTGTTTTTCAAAGAACAGAAGAAATCGTCTCCTCAAAAACAAAAGAAGTATACCCGGTAATACCCAGAACAAACAAATAAACAAAACCCCCTGAAGGTTAATCAGTCATGCAGATCATGTTTTATATCGTTGGCCAGTGGAGTCATATTCTGCTGCTTTGTACTTGCCCTTCCAGGAAATGAATCATAGAGGCAGTGCGTCAGCTGAACCTGTCTCTTCTCCAGGCATCCTACCTAAATAAATCATCCCAGCTGGAGCAGTATGGTCCTGTCTTGGGCGGCATTCAGAAAGTGGGTGCCCCACTTCAGTGCTGGGGACCCTGTAATTCTGGTGCATTGCCTTCTTTCCAGGGGGCCGTGTCTTAATTCCATGGCCCGGCGCTGAGCTCAGCATTAACTACACTGAGCTGCTTCCTTCTCTCTCCTCTCTGGCGTCTTCTCTCTTACTTTCTAGTCCTGCGTCTCCTACAGCTTCTGTTCTCCTGCCTGGCCCGACTGACAGCATAGCCCACACCACTCCCTCGGCAGATGGACAGAAACGTGGGTTGTGCATCAGGCAGGAGACAGGTCGTCTCTGCCTTACAAATGTCCAACTTGCAGAGGTCCCTTCCTGTGCACACTGGACACCTGCTTCCCCACATCCAACAAACCCTGTGCCCGGTAGAGCGCAGTCTTCCTTTTCCAGGGCCCTAGAGAATTCCTGCTTCTCCCAGCATTGGCCGCTGGCCCCTAAACCAGACAAGCCATGGGCAAAAATTGGCCTCAGATACAGGTCTAATGTGAGCACGTTTCACCCCTTCCCCCGCCCCACCACCACCAGGCTTTCTCCCTGGTTATGCAAAGATGAGGTGGGAGGGCACCGGCCAGGAAAGTGGGAAATGATGGTGTTTATTTTTTCTGATGATGGCAACAAGGTTAATAGGGACGAGGTGTGCTGCAATGGCTTTGGGGGCTTCCACTAGGCCTCCAGTCGCTGCCCTAAGACAGTTGCAGGAGGAAAACCCCCCCTGCTGGACTGACTAAGGGTGCAGGGATGCTCCCCTCCAGACCACTCTGCCCACAGAAGCCTCGTCTCCTCCCCAAAGGGACCAGAAGCTGCTCTGTGCCCGAACAGGGCTTAGGTCAATTAAAACAGACAAGTTCGTGGCATGCACAAGGTAGAGATTGGTCTTCTGAGAAATGGGAGATAGAATTTATTTCCCACTTATTGCAGTTTATTTTATTAGAATATGCATTGCAACAGAATGAGTGAGCAGTAGGGATGGTCATTGGATGAGGTTAAAACTTTCAGGTTAAAATTAGAGTATATATGGAGAGAGAGTTACATGCTATATATTTAATTGCTTTGTAAACCTAAAATGCATTAAAAAATTCTAACTGTGATAAGTTATTTTAAATATATTAAATATATTTATATTCCTGACACCAGAATATATATATATTATGTATCATATCATATATATAGTGTATAATATATATTATATATTATAAACATAATACGTAATATATATTATAAATATATTAATAGCTACATTGCATTTCTAAGAACAAACAGTGGATTTTCCCTGTGAATCTATATGCATAGCATTATTTGGCAACTGAGATTTTCCATTAGTTTTGTTTCTCCTCGTCTTCATACAAATGGACTGAAATAGTTAATTGTCTGATTGCTGTTAATAAAGTATCCTGTTTCAGGCTTGAAGCAAGGATGCCAATGTGGTACCACTCTCAATCTGTTAGGATTCTTCAAAGAAGCAGAACCAATAGACTATATATATATACATATATATGTATATAAAGAGATTTATTATAAGGAATTGGTTCACACAGTTATGGAGGCTGACAAATCCTAAGATCTACAGGGTGAGTTGGCAAGCTGGAGACCCAGGAGAGCCAATGCCGTATGGTTCCAGTCTGAAGGTTGGCAAACACCGGACCCAGGAAAAGCCAATGTTTTAGCCTGAGTCTGAAGACAGGAAAAAGCTGACATTCCAGCCTGAATGCAGTCCAGCAGAAGAAAGGTCAGCCTTTTTGTTCTGTTCAAGCCTTTCACCGGTTGGTTGAAACCCATGTGAAGGAGGGCAATCTACTCTACTCGGCCTACCAATGTAAATGTTAATTATATCTAAAATATAATCATAGAAACACCCAAAAGAATGTTTGGCTAACTATCTGGGTACCTCCATAGTGCAGGCAAGCCAAACCATAGCATTAATCGTCATATACCCAAACCAGGATTTCATACTGTCTTCAGTATCACCCAACATTCGTGTCAAGTTCACTAGATATTGGGTACTGAGCTGGGTCATAGGTGTAGTGAGAAGCGTAAGACATTGTCTTCCTCTTGAGAAATTTTTAGTTTATTGGTGTGGGTCTCCTAGAATTTGTCGTGTTTATATCTTGTGAAGCATGTGCGTGCTCAGTTGCTCAGTCGTGTCTGACTCTCTGTGACCCCATGCATTGTAGCCCACCTGGCTCTTCTGTCCATGGGATTCTCTAGGCAAGAATACCGGAGCCAACTGCCATTTCCTTCTCCAGGGGATCTTCCCAACCCAGGAGTCAAACCTGAGTCTCTTGTGTTCCCTGCATCAGCAGGCAAAGCTGATTCTTTACCAGCTAAGCCACCAGGGAAAGCCCATTATTATATAATGTCATGCCCATTATTTCATCTGAACTTCACAACCATCTCCGAAGCAGGCAAGGGAGGTGTCACACCTACAACACAGATAAAGAAACTGAGGGTCAGAGAAGTGAGATGAGTTGGCCAAGATCTCAAAGCTAAGCTAATGTGAGGCAACTGGGACCTAAATCCCCTGGTCTGATTCTACATCACCTCTCATGTAGAACTTCATTCTGCCAAGCACTTACACTTCTGTCTCCCAGCTCCTTCATCAATCTTGAGGAAGGGCACTTTGCCTCTAAGCAGTACCTTGCACACAGGCATTCAGCCTGCATCTGTTGTACAGAGCTGCTGACAGTCTTCCTCTCATATTACATCTTCTATATTCTACAAGTGACTTATGAATAAGATTGTTATTGTTTCATAGGTACATAGTTTTAGTTTTGCAAGATGAAAAAAGTTCTGAAGTTGGATGATGGTGGTGGTTGCACAACAACGTGAATGTATTAAACTTAACACCATTGAATTGTACACTTCAAAATGGTCAAAATGGTGAATTTTGTGTTATGTGTATTTTACTACTATTAAAAAAGATCATGGAACCTAGATAAACTATTTCTTTTCATTATTGACGACTTGGTCTGAAAAATCATTACCAACCACAGCTGTTACTTAGTCCATCAGTTGCAAATATCTTGTGTTCCTCTCATGCTGGGACCCCTGTGGGAGATGTAAGTGGAGGACGGTGTAAGTGAGCCTAACCATCTTGTTAGGGAGATGAGGGTATCACAAAGGAACATGCAAGAGTTAACAATATGAGACAAAAATGTTGGAGGCAGTAAATCTAAGAGCTAAATAAGTGCCATAAACCAAAAGTGCTTGGGTTTTTAAAAAAATACATCAGGTTAACCTGATATTTATTTAGCATCTAGAATAATATTGGGCTTCCCAGATGGTGCAGTGGTAAGAACCTGCCTGCCAATGCAAGAAACACGAGTTGGATCCCTGGGTCAGGAAGATCCCCTAGAGTAGGAAACGGCAACCCACTTCTGTATTCCTGCCTGGAAAATTCCTTGGACAGAGGAGCCTGGCGGGCTACAGTCCATGGGGTCTCAGAGTAGAACATGAGTGAGTGCACACAAGCATGAGAATGATATAGGAACTCCATTAAACATAAAAAGGATGAAGCATCTAGTTTGCTTTGAGTTTCTGAAATAGGTTTTTATTTAGGTTCAACTTTAGGAATCTCTGGTTTGCAAGGATGTGAGGCACTCAGGTAGAATTTGACCTGCTCGGGCCCTGGAAGCGCTGGAAGTATTTGCTCATTGGACGGTCATCTCCGTTTTGTTTCTGAATTCCTCTCTGTCACTTCTGCTGAAGTTCTGTTGAGCAGGATGCTGGTAAGTCTCACCTCATGGTTTCTTGTTCTCCTTAGGGTAAAAGGAAGCCAGGGCCTGATACTCACCCAACGAATAGAAGACCTGTGGGAGCTTCACCCGTCCTTCGACATCGTGGTCAACTGTTCAGGCCTTGGAAGCAGGCAGCTTGCAGGAGACTCAAAGATTTTCCCAGTGAGGGGCCAAGTACTCAAAGTGCAGGCTCCCTGGGTGAAGCACTTTATCCGAGATAGCAGTGGGCTGACATATATTTACCCTGGTGTATCCAATGTAACCCTGGGTGGCACTAGGCAAAAAGGAGACTGGAATTTGTCCCCAGATGCAGAAATTAGCAAAGAGATTCTTTCCCGATGCTGTGCCCTCGAGCCCTCTCTCCGTGGAGCCTATGACCTAAGAGAGAAAGTGGGTTTGAGGCCCTCTAGGCCAGGCGTACGGCTGGAGAAAGAGCTATTAGCCCAGGGCAGCAGGAGGCTACCTGTGGTCCATCACTATGGCCATGGAAGTGGGGGCATCGCCATGCACTGGGGCACTGCTCTGGAGGCCACCAGGCTGGTGAATGAGTGTGTTCAAGTTCTTAGGACTCCTGCTCCCAAATCAAAGCTGTAGGTGACCCGAAATGATAGCAAATGGCCCCAGAATCTATTAATCAAAATGTAACTTAAGTACCAGAAGAGATTCAAGTAACTTTTCTGTTGAATGAAAGTTTAATTGGACTTGATTTTGTTTTCAAAATTAGAATTGATGCAATAGGTATCAGTAGACTTAAACCTACTACTGATCTAACTTAGTACTAGTTAGTACTAGCCCTAATGACATAATGCCCTAATGACATAGGGCATTAAGCTCTATTTTTGTTAAAAAAAAAAAATACTTGCTAGAAACATTTCTTTTAGATCTCAGGTCCAAGGATCTATGCTAATTCACATGGATGCAAGAATTTTGATATATTATTTTGGCTTATAAATCCACAGGAGGAGATAATGTATGGAAAACACTTAACTCACTGTCAGTTGCAGAGCTGCCTGTGATGCTCATAGGTTGTAGTCAAGTGAACACTATAATCCTTTAAAATTACATGGCAATATACAATTCAGGCTCATTCCATTTAGTGGAAGACAAAGGATGATTCCTGCTAGTATTAATGGCAACCTCTACTTCCCCTCAGCTGGCAGATGGTAGAAGATAGAGATGATGTGTTGCTTACAGGTGTGGCATCAACTCAATTGCTGTCTGGGGTCAGCCACCTAAGGGGCGTACTTTCCATTACCACAAATGATTGAGAGGTGGCTCGTTGGCTGGTTGACTTTGCCTAAGCATTTTTGAAGATTGAATTTCATGTACGGCCAAAGAGCTAATTTGCTAATTAAGATGGAACAATCACTCTGAGTGAAATATAACCAAAGAGTTTTCTGCAAGTTGTTAAAAAGTACTGGGAAGGAGTGGGAGTATGTCTCATGACACAGTGATTTTGGAATTACTGAATTAATAAATCTAGTCTGGATTCTTGGCTTGGTCTTTAATCTGTTCACGTGTGTTGTGAATACTCATGAGGGTTTTTGGCTGAGCGAATAATAAAGGAGATGTTATTCATTAAGATAAGGAAGCTTAGGAGAAATATATGAAATTTTTTTTTTAGTGAGAATAGTCTGTTTTATTTGTTTTTTAATATTGGAGAATCTCTAAGTTTGACTATATCTAATTTAAATATAGGGCCTAAATAGTTGTAATAAGATGTAATGTGTATGGTGTTTATGCTATAGTTATTGTCAAAAAGGTGTATGAAAAGTGTATACATGAAGATCAAAAAAATATATGTAAGTCTAATTTTAATTTTGGGAGTATATTTCTCATGCTTAGTAACTAAGTTCTGTTTTAGACATCTTGGGGGGAGTGTGGGGTTGGCAAACAAAATGGGAAAGAGCCTCCGGTACAGCTCCACTCTTGATGTTTTGTTCATCGAACTTTTGTATGTGATTTTGTGTGTGGGGAGAAAAAAAAAAAAAACAGCCTGTGCTGGAAGAGACAAAGATGGAGACAGAGAGCATGCACGCCGTGCTCTTGATCACCCTTGCGGTAATGAAATTCCCAAGTTAAATCAAAAGTGGATTCTTTTCCTTGCATTTCCATCAGGGGGCGTTGTTGTATCAAGTTCAGATAATCCTGCTACATTTGAAAATTTAGAAATGGTTAGAAATAAAAATTGGATATGGAGGTGTGTGGCATATGTGGGTGATTCTTCTGAGGTTTTAGAGTTTATATGCCCAAACTTCAATTTTTAAAAATTTTGCTTAGAGTATTTGAGAAATGTACAAGCTCAGATAGACTGAAAATACACACATAGACACACACCCATCCATACACACATGCACTCACTACACATGATCTGTTAGAAATAATATGTTATGATAAAATGGCATTTTGAAGAGGGCATTTAACAATTTTTTAGTGGTTAAAAATAAAAATGATGGGGCTTCTCTGGGGGGACAGTGACTAAGACTCCATGCTCCCAGTGCAGGGGGCTCAGGTTTGATCCCTGGTCAGGGAACTAGATCCTACATGCTGCAACTAAGAGTTCCCATGCCACAACCAAGAACTGATGCAGCCAAATAAATAAATAAATTGAAATGTTCTTTAAAAATGAAAATGCTTGGAACAGGTGGATTTGCTCTTTACAGCAGTCAAGCGTACTCAGTCGTTCCTTAAGCCCACAGTTTAGATCCTGCAGCATTTTCATTTCCTGTAGGTAGGTTCATACTCTATGACTATTGCCTATTTGCAACAGTCTAAACACTTACTCTAATTTAACTCTTCATTTTATATTCCTAAAGCCTAACATTATAAGACTGAAAAATTAGAGGCTTCTGGAGACAGTGGTCATGGCTACATGCCCTGATTTCATTTTTATTGACTGTTTAATACGTGATTCTTCTCTTAAATGTTTGTTTATTTTGATCAGTTGCCGGGTTGCATGTTATAGTCACCTGGGAAGTTTTGAAAAACTAATGATTCAAGCCCTTCTCTAATAAATTAGCATCGTTGGGGTTGGGTGGAGCCCTGGCAACAGAATTTACTTGTAACCCACAGAGTTCTGTCCAATAGCTGGGACTGAGGGTTATGAGCCCTGCTTCATTCCTCTCCTCACTGGGCTTTGGCACTACTGAAACCACTCTTTTCTCCTTTCTTCCTCGGCACCTTGGGGCACTGAGCTAAGAGTGATGTGCTCACGTAAGCAGGTGTGTCCTTAGACACTCCTGGGCAAGGTAGTAGGAATTATCTGTTTCCGAAAGTGGCTCTCTAGAAATTCTGGGAACCACCTTGCTCGCTGTAGCTCAGCTGCTCAGAGACAGCCACCTGTCTGAATGAGAGACTGAGTATACAAACGAACAATGGCCAGACTATATATAAAGGCACTCTGATCCTGCAGTAGCTGGCCCAGGAAGCCACCCTTTTCTTTATAATCGCCAGCAAGGGAGCCAGTCTGCTACAGGTCAGATTTGTAAGATGCTAAATTGCTGTCTCTAGTAATGATCCAGAAAGCTTAACAATCATTATTGGAACAATTGGCCCCAAATGGTCAGTACTTGGATAATAACTGACAGTTTCCCTAAAATTTGTCCTGTTTCCAACTTAAGACCAACCAGAGAAAGTCAAATACACCCCTATCCAATCACGCAGGATGCCCCACTTTTTTGGAGAAAGGCATATGTTTAAAACCTTTTTACTTTGTATTGGGGAATAGCCAATTAACAACGTTGTGATAGTTCCAGGCGAACAAGGAAGAGATTCAGCCATACATATACATATATCCATTCACCCCCAAACTCCCCTCCCATCCAGGCTGCCACTTAATATTGAGCAGCATTCCATGTGCTATACAGTAGGTCCTTGTTGGTTATCCATTTTAAATATGGCAGTGTGTACATGTCTATTCCAAACTCCCTAACTATCCCTCCCCCGCATTCTTCCCCCTAGCAACCATAAGTTCTCTAAGCTTGTGAGTCTCTTTCTGCTTTGCGAGTAAGTTCATCTGTATCATTTCTTTTTCGATCCCACAGGTAAGGGATGTCATATGCTATTTCTCCTCTGTCTGACTTACTTCACTCAGTGTGACACTCTCTATCTAGGTTCATCTGTGTTGCTATCAATGGCATTATTTCATTCTTTCTAATGCTTTTATTTTTTTCCTTGCTGTGCAGGCTTTTCTCTAGTTGCAGTGAGCAGGAGCATCATAATGCTGGAGTTTCGGTGCACAGGCTCCTCACTGTGCTGACTTCTCTTGTGTAGTATGGGCTCTAGGTCAGCGGTTGCAAGCTCAGTAGTTGAGATTCCAGGGCTCTAGAGCACAGGCTCAGAGTTGTGGTGCCTGGGGTTATCTGCCCTGTGGAATGTCAGATCTTCCTGGATCAGAGATCAAACCCATTTCTCCTGCATTGGCAGGTGAATTTTTTACTACTGAGTCACCAGGCAGGACCTGAGGATGCCCCACTTCTTAGTAGCCTGCCAACAGCTTCCCCAAGCCCAGAGCCTCCATTCAGGCCATACCTGGAGTCCTCTCTTTGGTCACTAAAAGGCTTTCCCACACTTCTGCCTTCCTTGGAGAGACGGTGACTGACTCCCTTGCTATAGCAAGCTCTGAATAAATAGTCATCGTTTTTCTCTTTTGGCTGGCCTTTTTTTATTGCTTGTTTCCACAAAGATTTCCTGTTTTGTAAGTTGAAGTCTTAGATCACTATGCTAAGGCCAAGAATGGGCCCCCATTTTCTATTACAGTCCATTTAAAACTTTTTCTGAACATAGAGAACAACAGATTTCCCTCTCAAATTCCTTTCTTCAAGTGTCTGACATTTGCAGCTGAGCCAGGACCTGCTGTGCCTGTGACCCCGAGGGATACAGCAGCTTTGAGGGCACTAGCATGCAGGTATGATGCTTCTTCAGCAGACAGAGGTTATGTACAGACTTTGAGGATTTTATTTGCTTTGAAAGAAAGGAAGGTAAACAGAAAGGCCATAGTCCAATAGGACATGGTTATATAGAAGAAAGGCTATTTTAAAAAACGATATAGATTGTTCCTTTTATTGAATGTTAAAGTGTGAGTCACTCAGTCGTGTCGACTCTTTGGGACTGCAGGGACTGGGGCCCACCAGGCTCCTCTGTCCTTGGAATTCTCCAGGCAAGAATACTGGAATGGGTTGCCATTTTCTCCTCCAGGGGATCTTCCTGACCCAGGGATTGAACTCGCGTTTCCTGCATTGCAGGCAGATTGTTTACCATCTGAGCCACCTGGGAAAGGGAAAGTGAAGTTGCTCAGTTGTGTCCAACTCTTTGAGACCCCATGGACTGTAGCCTACCAGGCTCCTCCGTCCATGGGATTTTCCAGGCAAGAGTACTGGAGTACTCTTGCCATTTCCTTCTTGAGCCACCAGGGAAGCCACAAATAAACACACCCTCTTGGCCTGGAGATGCCAGGGATTGAACCTGGGGCCTCATGTGCTCTACCACTGAGCTACATCCCTGTTTATGCATTCAAACAAACTGATAGTCGAACCATTTTTTTCTCAATCCATTCAGAGTTTTTAGCGAAAAGGAAGAAAATGATGGTGGGACCT